GGGAGAAAAAGAACAGAAATAAGGAAAGCGGGGAGGAAGTCGTTTTTTGTGAGTACTAGCCATGTGCCAGGCATGCACAGGCAGTTCACATATGTCAGAGGTAGTCATAGAAAGGGTTTCCTTTGTGCCAGGCACTGTCCTAGCACTGTACCTCTGTCGGCTGGGGTGATCCGCACACCAACCCAACGAGGTAGGTGATGTTACTGGCCCACTGTCCAGATAAGAAATGGAACATTGAAGGTAAGGAAGAGAAAGAGCTGGGATTCAGGCCACACGGCCTGTGCTCAGTCACTGCACTGCATCACACTCTTTGTCTTCACGGGATACCTCACAGGCATGACATGGCTCATTGTACAGCAGAGAATCAGGGAGATTGGCCAGATCTAAAAGTAGCAGAGATGAGATTCAAATCTAGGGTTATGAGACTCCAGATGCAGGGGTATAGAGCTGATGCAGAGTTTTGAGGCCCAAATGCAGAGGTCCCTTGCCTTAAGGCAGTTCTTTGAAATACCTCCCCCATCCAATGCGGGGGCACCTTCTCTGGACAGGACTTGTGCAGTCCAGCCTCTTCCTGCTGGAGATTGCCCCCAAGGACCTTCTTACATCAGTGTGTCTCTGGGCCCCTCATCTGTGTGCCTGCCCCAGGCTGGGAGATGGTGTCCATCTTCTTCTGATCCTCTCTTCTTCTGTGTAGACCAGAATGAAACACAGCACCTGGCACACAGCATTGTCTCAGTGATGATTCTTGAATTTTAAACAAGAGTTAGCGGAAAGGCCAATGTGTATGGTTTTGGAAATAGGGAGCAGCCCCATAGGGTGGAAGGGTGGTGATCCATGCAGAATTTGGGAATGGACTTGTGTATGTTTTGGGACAAGGTGGGGCCGTGTGTGCAGGAGAGAGGATGGCTCTCCATGCAGCCTCTCATGCACTCAGTGTTGGGGTACAAAGACGGAACTAGATTCTGGCAGAACAGGATGGCAGAGAATGGGGAGGCTGTTCCATGATTTCTCTGCCGTCACGAGAGGCTGTGCAAGTACTAGACTTACCAACTGGTAATCAAGGTCAAGCAGGTGAGTTCCTGGGGTCAGGGGCTGGTCCATTTTATGTTTGTTTAACAGAAGAAAGGTCCTCCCTGGAAAAGCTTGATTAAGATCAGCTATTCCAATACAGTCTGATGATGCGGAAGCTCAGAGTCATGGGAGCCCAAAGATGGGGCCTGAGGCCACCTGGAGCAGTGCAGTCAGGGAAGTCTTCTTGGAGGAGTAAGCCGGATGAGGAGAAAGGTGAGAGAAAGGCATCCAAGTGGGGGCAATTGATGGAGCAAAAGCATTTAGGCTGGAGACAGGGTTTGGGAGTCCCGGCATTTCCAGAGGTGACTGAAGCTGTGAAATGGAGGCCACTGAGGAGCAACCAGAGAGGAGAGTCTGGAGAGCAGGGAGCCCCAGAAAGTAGCAGTGGGGAATTTCCAGAATTTGGGAAATTTCCGGGTTCCTTCCACACAAGGCCAGGGACGGGGAGGCAAGCAGAAGGTCAGAATGGACCTGTGGTTCTCTCCTGAGAAGATGCTAGGATTCTGGGCTCAGCACCCTGGGAGGAGTGAACCCCTAAGTTTCTGAGCCATTTGGGGAGGCTGGGCCCAGCCAATGGCCGTGCTCGGTGCAGCTCCTCCTCTTCCTAGGCCAGCGACACACCCAGGCTGCCTGCCGACTTGCAGGCTCTCGTCTGTGACTTGCAGGCTCCCATCTGCGACTTGCAGGCTCCATCCCAGGAACGGGCTTCCCCACACACCCTCTCTGGTTCTGACATGAGTTCCAGCTGCCTGCCGAGTCGACTGCCAGCTGCCAGGAGCCAGTGTCCAGAGAGCCCTGAGGAGTAGCCACTCAGGTAAGGTCATCTGTGTCCAATGTACTGTCCCTCAGCACACATGGCAGAGGGAAACTTCTCCGGTGGAGAGTCAAGGGAGGTGGCCTGGACACATCCGCCACCCTGTGTCCTGATGGTAAAAGAATAAAGGGCTCCTCCCTCCTCCACTCTGCGCTCTTCCCACTCTCCCTACCTGAGCAGAGGTAGAAGCAGGGACAGAGTGGAGACGGGCTCACAGCGGAACTGGAAGTTGTGCAGGCGGAGCAGCTCTGCCCGGGCCTGCACAGCCCCACCCCGCCCCACCCCGCCCCACCCGGAGTGGGCTGGGCAGAGAGCCCCTGGGCACTAAGGGCTGGAGCCTCCCTGGTGGTTTCCTGAGAAGCTGCCAGGAATTCCACCCACCCTAGGCAGGAATGAGCAAAGACAAGCTGATGAGCTGATGGTTCTGAGCAGGGGCCCCACCACATCCAAGTGAGAGGTGGTGTAGACAGAGTCAGGAGCAGAGACACCCCTAGCCTCCCTCAGCTGGGATCTACCTGGAGGAGGCGGGAGTGGGCACGGACCGGACTCAAGACAGCTTCCCGAAACTTAAGGAAAGCAGCCCAGGTCCAGAGTGTGGGCTCTGGAGACAAACTTTCTGAGTTTAAATCCCAGCTCTGCCACTTACTTGCTGTGTAACTGTGAGCAAATTAACTAACTTCTCTGTGCTCCACTTTCCTCATCTGTAAATTGGGAACAAAAAATATACCTTTTCATACAGTTGCTGCATCGATCCATACAAAGTTCCCAGAATAATGCCTGGCACTACAGAAACACCTGACAAATATTAGCTCTTAGTACTTCCCTGCTCAACTGCTGCCAACCCCGCAGGGGCTCAGGACAGCTTGTTGAGCTTCAGTGGGAACCAGTACCCGGAAGGGTATCAGGAAGCCCTTAGAGCAAGAGGCTGTGCAGACAAGCTCCTGAGGTCCAATAGGGTGGGACCACTATGGTGCATGGGTCTCAGGGGACCCTAAAAACCAGCCAGAGCAATTCCAAGAGAGAAAATGGGCACCCCTCACTCTGAACAGCAGTCACATTCCTTAAATGGCGGTAAATCCGATTCCTGTGTGTTTAGCACGCCGAACCCACCAGCAGAAGTGGTAGGAGCAGCATTTCCTATTTTGGTGCCTTGACAAGGCTGTTCCGCAAGGTGACGAGAAAGGGTTCTGCCACCCATGGAGTTGGTCAGTGCTCCATATTCTGTCCCTCTTTTGGAGGTTCACAATGCGAATTTATCAGCATAGTCAAGTAGAAGGGCCTATTTAACTCTGCCAAACAAAATGTTTGCCTACCTTTCTTGGACATGGATTCCTTTCCTCTCGCTACTCCTACGGTCAACCTACGAAACAGAGTTTTATTTCAACTAGATTATCGTTGGCCTTACTTCAAGTGAGTTGTCCCTGAGCAGGACACTGCCTGGATATTTATTTACTGAGTGTTAGACCAGCCGGGAGTTTGGGAACAAGGTTCCAGTCTCCTCTCCAACCCCATCCCCTAAGTCAAGTGAAAGGCAAAGAGCAGGTTCCCCTTGGGAGGGGCTGTCTAGGGTGACAGAGCAGTGAACCGAAAGGAGAGAAGTCTTCCCAAGGCGCAACCCTCCCGAGGAGGAGACTCAGGGTTGGAGCAGAGGGAGAAGGCAGAATGGCCCACTTTCGCCCTGCAAGACTACAAGACCAGAGCCTCAGGCCCTGGGAGGAATGAGAGGCTCCCTGGATCCACCTTCACCCACCTTTATGGGTAAGAGTTGGGTTCTGGACTTAATTACTTATACTCACATCCCTACTCTGCTCCTAATAATTGTATAAACTTGTATAACCCCTCTAAACAAACCTCGATTTCCTCCAGTGTTAAAATAGGGACAATGATAGAATGCAGCTCCTCTGCGACTGTGAAGATTAGGAACAATGACATGTTTCTATAAAGGGCTTAGAGTGACTGTCCTATTAATGTGGGAAATTGTCATTATCACCCCCGCAGGAGCAACCAATATCCAAGTGCACTATGAACTGGAGCATCTTCGAGGGGCTCCTAAGCGGAGTCAACAAGTACTCCACAGCCTTCGGGCGCATCTGGCTGTCACTGGTCTTCATCTTCCGCGTGCTGGTGTACCTGGTGACAGCTGAGCGTGTGTGGAGCGACGACCACAAGGATTTTGACTGTAACACCCGTCAGCCAGGCTGTTCCAACGTCTGCTTCGACGAGTTCTTCCCTGTGTCCCACGTGCGCCTCTGGGCCCTGCAGCTCATCCTGGTCACATGCCCCTCGCTGCTCGTGGTCATGCACGTGGCCTACCGGGAGGCACGGGAGAAGAAGCACCGAGAGGTAGCGGGGGAGGACTGTGGGCGCCTCTACCCGAACACCGGCAAGAAGCGGGGTGGGCTCTGGTGGACATATGTCTGCAGCCTGGTGTTCAAAGCCGGTGTGGACTCCATCTTCCTCTATGTGTTCCATTCACTCTACCCCAGGTACATCCTCCCTAATGTGGTCAAGTGCCACTCAGCTCCATGTCCCAACACAGTGGACTGCTTCATCTCCAAACCCTCGGAGAAGAATATCTTCACTCTCTTCATGGTCATCACGGCTGCCGTTTGCATCCTGCTCAACCTTGTGGAGCTGGCTTACCTGGTGAGCAAGAGGTGTCGCGAGTGCCTAGCAGCAAGGAAAGCCTGGGCCACCAATGCCTCTTCCTACAAACAAGATGACCTCCTCTCAGGCGACCTTATCTTTCTGGGCTCAGACACTCCTCCTCCTCTCTTACCAGACGGCCCATCAGACCACATGAAGAAAACCTTCCTGTGAGGGCTGCCTGCATTGGGCTGACAGGGCAGGCCTGGTTTGGAAAAGCTCGGCATCTCTTGTGTGTGCAGTCTTAGGGGTGACAAGCTGAAGGTCAGACAGCCCAGGAACAAATCTCTATTCCACTGCTCCTGCCACCTGCCCCAGCTGTGTGGCCTTGGGCACCTCAGTTTCCTTTTATGTAAAATGAAGATGATGAGGCCTACCTCATAGGGTTGTTGCTGGGAGGAGGAGTTTAATTAGAGAACGATGTGCAAGCACCTTCAATGTGTGGGGCCCATGGCCAGGGCTTAATAAAAGTCAACTCCTCCACTGATTTAAGGTGCCCTTTGATCCTTCAGTCTTTGTGATCTTTATCAGATCATTGGGTCAACCTCTCTACCCCCTGCAGATGGTTGCTCTTGGTCCAGCCAGGTGAGGGACCATCCTCTCACCTAGAAAGAGTCCCCAGCACTCCTGGGGGTTATGCTGCCTGCTCATGCTCAAGTCTAGCCTTTATCTTCAGTCGCAATTTTAGGTCTATGGGTTGTCTACAAAGAGAATGGAGCTTAGTATGTGAGAACTACCTGCGGAAGTGGAAAGTTCATGGACTTTACTTGCACTTGAACCCAAATTTCAATGAAACTCACTTTCAAAGTGACGTCAGCTCCTCCCAAAATAGGTTAATAATACTGAGCCTGTGGGATTGTTGAGAGGGCTGGATGAGCTCATGGCTGTAGATGGGGTTAGCCAGCTGTAAAAGGCCACATAAATGTTAACCATTGGTATTAGGAAGTGCTTGATAAATGCTTATGGGAAATGAGGCAGAGGAGCCCCTCCCTAGCTGCACATTAACCTTCTCTGTCCCAAGGCCCCTCTGCAGCACCTACTGGGTCACACTCAACTTCCCTGGAGGCTTGCCCCGGAGACCCAGGCCCATAGAGGGCAGACCGCGAGGTGGTGCCTGACCCCGTGCTAACTGGGCCACTGCATGCTGCCAACCTGCATTCCTTGTCTCCACCAGGGCAGTGGGGTACCCTTGTCCAGAGGAACCATAGTCAGCCCCTCCCATCCCATACACAGCTCACCGGCAGCCTAAGCTCTAGTTCCCAGCAATGTCCCCACCAGAGTGAAATGTGATCCGGGGCTGAATCAAGGTTGCCCTTTTCCACAGATGTCAGCTGCTGAGGACATCAGAACCAGGCTTCCAGAGAAAAGGGCAGGAGAAAGGCCTGGGGACAGGGGGACAGAAGGCAATAAGGCAACAGGAAGGGGACAGGGGAAATGCCATTGTTGCTGACCTGGGCCCAGGGAATGAGGATACCCGGCCCCTGCTGCCCCCCTCACTGCAGTCTCACCCACATACCTGCCAACCCAGGGAGCCAGACCCAGCCATGCCTGGCCAGACTGGAGAGAAGGCGTGGGCCAGGCGAGAAGAGCCGCGGGTGTTTGCTCTGAATATGTGCCCAGGGAAGTCCGCCTGCCCGCCTGCCCACCTGCTCACTCTTGCTTGGCTCATTGGCTCAGAAAGCCCCACCCAGCAAGGGAGTAAGAAACAAAAGCTACCTTTGGGAGGCCCTCAGGCAGATGGACAAGCTTAGGGACCGGAGAGCAGCTGCTGGACTCAAGAAAGGTGAGGACCAAATTGGGCATGAAGCTGGGCTGTGAGGCAGGGACGAGAAGGTCTAAGGATTCCCCAGGGGACCTCAGGTTGTGGACCGGGCTTCAGGGAGAAGCAGAGGGAACTGAGGATCCCTGGAGAAACCCCAGGGAAGCCCCAAGGAAGGGAAGGAATGTCCTGCCAGACCAAAGGAAGGACAGAGGACCAGGGAAGACATGGGAAGAGGAGGGATCAGGAAGAAGTAGAGTTTCGATTCGGTTTAGCAAACATCTATTGTGAATTCACTGGGCCAGGCCTGATGCTGAGTCCTGGGGGAACAGACAATAAGACATAGAGGCTGCCCTCCAGGAGCTGGCAGTCCCACCTAGAAGACAGGTACACAGGCCATTCGAGTATCAGCGATGCATGAAAGAAGTAGGAGGGTACTCAGAAAATGTTCCAGGGTCATAACGTTTGAAGACGCTGAGATCTGAGTCAGGAACAGAGGAGGGGCCAGGTCAGAGATGGAACATGATGGCACTCAGGATGAGGGATTGTAGAGGATGGAGCACCCAGGACAAGGGCCTGAATGGAAATAATGGGAGATTTGGCTAGCAAAAAACTGCTGAACAGTCACTGAAACAAACAGACAAAAAGGAAATGGTGGGGGGAGGGCTGTGCCGGAATTCCACCTCCATGCCTTCCCCAGTCCCTCCCTAAAGCCGGAATGGTTGGAATTCCAGAGAAATCCACTGTGGTCAGGACAGTCAGCCCCCAGGGCCCAGCACCCATGGGGGTGCTGGAGGGTGGTGGGATGATACCAAGCCAACATGGTTCCAAAGAGCCTGTTTAGTTTAGGAGGGAAAGTCAGGGTGGGGATGTCCTGGGGCCAGAGAGGAAGAAGGAGGATGGATATCACCATGGCAGCCAGAAAGGCTGATATGAACACACCCAGCTCAGGGCCTGGCTCATGTTGGTGCTCAGTAAAGGCTGGAGGAAACTGAAAGATAAAGATACACATCCCTCCCCTCCTACCCTGGTCCAGACCTGGCAGCTGATGAGAGAGCGGATCATCCAGTCCCCACCTTCGTACTATCTCTTTAGAAGTTGGGTGACCCACAGGGCTGAAACTCAGGGTCAAAGAAGTTGGCGGGCACATCCCTGCAGGACCATTATCCTTCACATCTATCTATTACTTTATAGAACAAAATATTCCCTGATTTTGCAACTGAAAGACGGAAGTTCAAGATCAGCTCTGCCACTTCCATCTGTGGAGCCTTGGGCAGGTGTCTCTGTAGGCCTTAGCTTACTCCCCTGTGAAATGGAGATAAAGGTGATCTACCCCACCAAGGCATTTTGAGTGAGGACATGATGACACAGTGGTTGTGAAACGACTTTGCCAATCACACCTTTAACAAAGGACACCCATTTCCAGGTTCTCCCAGGCCTCGTAGTCCCGAGGCCTGCGTGGGTGCACACGGCTGCAGGCCACTCACATAAGGAACCATCAGCATGAACTGGGCATCTCTGCAGGGCCTCCTCAGCGGCGTGAACAAGTACTCCACGGCACTGGGCCGCATCTGGCTGTCCATAGTGTTCATCTTCCGGGTGCTAGTGTACGTGGTGGCAGCTGAGGAGGTGTGGGACGATGAACAGAAGGATTTCGACTGCAACACCCGCCAGCCGGGCTGCTCCAATGTCTGCTATGATGAGTTTTTCCCCGTGTCCCATGTGCGCCTCTGGGCCCTGCAGCTCATCCTGGTCACGTGCCCCTCGCTGCTTGTGGTCATGCATGTGGCCTACCGGGAGGAGCGGGAGCGGAAGCACCGCCTGAAACATGGGCCCAACGCCCCATCCCTGTACGACAACCCAAGCAAGAAGCGGGGAGGGCTCTGGTGGACATACTTGCTGAGTCTCATCTTCAAGGCCGCCGTGGACTCTGGCTTCCTCTACGTCTTCCACCGCCTCTACCAGGGCCATTACGACATGCCCCGTGTGGTGGCCTGCTCTGAGCTGCCCTGCCCCAACACCGTGGACTGCTACATCTCTCGACCCACGGAGAAGAAGGTTTTCACCTACTTCATGGTGGTCACAGCTGTGATCTGCATCCTGCTCAACCTCTGTGAGGTCGTCTACCTGGTGAGCAAGAGGTGCCTGGAGATCCTCGGCCCCAGGCGCCAGCGGTCTCGGCACCGGAGTCGCCTTCCTGATTCGTGCCCACCATATGCCCTCTCCCACGGAGACCACCCCCAAAATGAGGACTCTGTCCTTACAAAGGTGGGCTCAGCCGTGATGGATGCAGGCGGGTATCCATAAGCTGTGAGGCTAGCAGCTGGGACCGCCTGCTCCTTAAGGCCACAGCAGGGCAGTGGCGTCTTTTCTGTAGCAAGGCATGTGAAGAAGATGGTCGTGGGGCTCAAGAAGCCCATCTAGGGGCCAGTACTGTGGGGAAGTTGTATCGTTGGGTCTTGAGCCCCAGGAGAGGGAGGTTAATGGATGGTGGGGATTTTATATATGGTAATATATTTTATAATATTAAAGTCAAAACACTTAATAAATATGATTTTCTCAGTACCGTGCAGACCAGGTAGAGAGTGACTGGCAGGAAAGCAGAGAGGTTCATGATGAATCTCAGAGAGGAGGCCAAGGCCACTCAGTGGGCACCTGAACCCCTGAGCCCCAGAACCTCAGATCCAGGTTCACCCATTGCACACCACATACACACCACATCCCAGAGTGTGCCCCCCAGGACATAGCAGTGAATACCCAAAGGCAGAGGCTGCTCCAGGGGTCTCTGGACTCTGCAACCAGCCAGTCAAGGCAGGAGAGGGACCCCAGGAAACACTGTGCTCAGCATAAGTTGGTTCTCAGCAAGTGTCCTTTAGACGAATATAAGTGGCTCAGGAAGTCTCTGCCTTCCCCATTTAGGCATCTCTAACCCTGCCCAGCATAGGTCCCAGGGGAGTGGGACCCTCTGAGGGTAGAAAGGGAAGGTCAAATGGGAGAGAGTTGGTGCCGAGAGCTATTCCAGGATGAAAGTTTGCCAGGGTGTCTAGGAGGCATATTCCCATAGGCCAGGGACCATTGAGAGCATCCAAGCCAAAGGTTCCCTCGTGGATCCTCAAGTCTGAGGAATTTCCCTTATCTTTCCTGGACACACATTCCTTCATTCTCCTCACCCCCATCCAAGCACTCAGACATTGGCAACTCCCAAAACCCCGACTCCAGCCTGGACCTGCTTGAGTCCCAGGGCCTCCACCAACTGCCCACAGGAGAACCCTCCAGGAGGCACCCAGGCATCTCCCATTCGGCAACTTCCAAACCTGCCCCCCTCACAGATCACTACCCACCCCATGAACAGCACTGCTATCCACCTAGTTGTCCAAGCTGGAAGGTGGTCTGACATCCTCATCCCGTCCCCTTCTTCCAGCCCCTCGTGCCCCCCATCCCAATGCAACATCGAATCCCACTAATTCCAGCCACTTAAATGCCTCCTGAGTCTGTGCCTCCTCTCCCACCCCACAGTCTTAACCTCTCACTGGGCCCCTCCCATCTGCCTCCTACTACAGAGACAGAGCAGTTTTTATACCTATGAATCTGATCATGTTGTTCTTTCTGCATTAAAAATCCTTCCACCACCACCACCACCATTGCCCTACACTTGGTCCCCACTGACCTCCCTGACCTCACCTCCTGCTTCCTCCTTCATTGTACCCACCAATTATACCAAGCGCTCAGCCAGATACCCCATGCTGTATTGTGCCCTGTGCCTTCAGACATGCTGTTCCCTCTACCTGGAATGCCCTTCCTCCCTCCTCTGGGACCCTTTCTGAAAACCCAGGGACAGCCTTAACCACCTTCTCCATGAGTCAGCCGAGCGCATGCCTCTGTTATTCTCCCTGAATTGGAGTGGTCGGTTCTCCCCATCAGTCTGTGAGCCCTGTATGGGCAGGGCAGGGTTAGACGCTGAGTCATCCAGGCCTGGCTGCTTCAATAAATGTTTGTTAGCTGAGTAAATGGGCTGTGAGCTGTTTGGCAGAAGGGACTGTGTCTTGTTGACCTGAATCCTCCACCACACCTAGCCCGGGGAGTTCAGCAAAGTGTTTTCTTTTATTTGTTTGTTTATTTGCTTTGTTGTTGTCCTTTTAACTAAGTTCAGCGTAAAGGTCTCATTTATATGTGAGGAAACTTTGGCCTAGGGAGGGGAGAGGCCCCTCCAAGCCCACACAGATGGGATGAGTCTGTGGGGGCTGTGGCCCCTGTGGTCCCTGGAGAGACTCTATGTCCACTCCTGATTATGGGACATGATCGGAAAGTCACTCCGTCCTGGGTCAAGGTCCCTAGAAACAGAGCCAGCATCAGGAATTTATGTGCATGTGAAGAAAGGAACATGGAAACAGGATAAGGAAGGGGCAGAGTTGGAGAGACTCTATGTCCACTCCTGATTATGGGACAAGATCGGAAAGTCACTCTGTCCTGGGTCAAGGTCCCTAGAAACAGCCAACATCAGGAATTTATGTGCATGTGAAGAAAGGAACAAGGAAACAGGATAAGGAAGGGGCAGAGCTGAGCAAGGTATAGACTCAGAAATCTAGCCTTGGCCTGAGCCCTTACAGAGTGAGGGGACCTTGGATCATAAACCCCACCATAGAGCTGTCCCTGCTGGAGGCAAGGGCATCAGGCTTTGGAACTCCCGTATCACCCAGTCTTTGGCTTCAGGCCACCTCGAGGACAAGAGGGCTGGCAAGGAGGGTCAGTGGCTCCCACGCAACCAAGATCAGTTCTCTAGGGACAGCTATAAGCCATGAGTGGCCAATATTCACAGCAGCTGGGGAACAAGTGTCCCCCAGCATGGGGGAACAATGGGGCAACAATACCATCTGCTGAACTCCAGGAATCAAGGGCAACTCTACTTCCGCTCCAGATCAGAGCTGCAACTACTCAAACCCAGAGAACAGGGTGGTACCGTCAGCTAGTTCCAAATCAGACGGCCCTACACTGCTCAGACCAATGTGGCTCCCACATGCAGGCCAGTGGACCAGCCATAGTCAACTCCCTCTGAGATTCTAGATTCCCCATTCCAGGGGCTGGTGCTGTGAGAGCATCCTGGGACCTGACTACTCCTGTGGCAGTCCTCTTCACGGGCTCTATTCCCAGAGGTCTCAAGTCCTGAGCCATTGAGTCAGATGAAGACCGAACGCCATCTGACCAGCCTGAGGGCCCCAGAGGGGGCAGGATAACCCTCTAGGAAACACTCAAGCTTCTCATTCTTATTCTCAGTCCTGCCCACACTCTCAACACCCGCACACTGCCTCCCTACCGCTCTTAGACCTTTCCGCCTTTGCCCTCTTAAAAACTCTTTGCTTAGCGTAGGCCCCTGCCATCTTTCTCTTCCACTCTCTGCCCGGCCTGCATTGCTGCCACCTGCTTCTCCTCATTCATTAAAGACTTGAGCACATGACTCAGGGCCTTCTGGTATTCTCTCACAGCCCAGGGCCACGGAGACTACCTGTGTATCACTCTATCCTTTTCATTCCATGCCCTCCTCATCTCTCATGACCTCTTCGTCCACTGCATTTAGTTACCCACTCACAAGACCACACCCTGGACTTTGTCTTCCCCCAGAAATGCTCCACCTCTAGAATCTTCCATTTGACTCAAGCCGACAAAATTTATTGTTCGCTTTATGTGATAAGCCCCCATGCTAGGTGCTGAGCATCCGTCTGGTTAAGTTCCTGACCTCATGGAGCTTATGCTCTATGAAAAGGAAAGCTGCCAACCCGTGGGCCTCTGGGGAGGCACGTGGTGCTGGGGGAGGGAGGAAGGTAGACCCAGCATCCAGGCACCCAGGGAAAGGGTCCTTGAGACTTCTTAAGCTGACACCTAGAGGAAGAAGAGGATTTTGCCAAGCAAATGGGGAGGGGACTCTGAACAGAGAGATGATGGCATATGAAAGGCCTAGAAAGGGAAAAGAAACCAGGTGAGGGGTCAGGCTGAAGTAGATGGGAGCGGGGGTGCAGTCATGCAGAGCTTCCTTTGTAAAGCCCTGTTCGTGATTTTGGACTTTATCCTACGGACAGTGAAAAGTCACTGGAGAGACTTAGCACAGAAGTGACATGATAGAATTTTCAATGTCTCTGGTTATAGCGCCAAGGCACCAGAGCAGGGCTCCCTATTTGGAATCTGACACTAATAGTCCAAGAGAGAAACAGCAATGGCCTCAACAAGGGTGTGTGCAGTCGGGGTGGAAAGAACTAGCTGGATTTAAGAAATATTTACCAGATAGAATCGAAAAGATTTGGTGATTTGATTGGGTGTGGAAATCAGTTAGAAAGAGGAATCGAAGTGACACCCAAGTTTCTGGCTCTGGGTGGTGGCGCATTTACCCGAGGGAGGAGCAGGTTTGAGGGAGATACTGGTAGCTTCAGTTTCAGACAGGGTTGAGTCTGAGATACAAATAAGATATCCTGGTTATCCCCTCACATTCAAGACCATCTCAGCCCTTGGCTCACTTGTCTTTCTATTTTATGCTTATTGTTCTTGGTGACTTCACATCCAACACCTTGACCTCTCAGTTCCTTGACTTCCTGGCTTGTAACAGTCGATCGAAGCCCCCACATGAGTGCTTGCACCGTAGATCTTCTCTGTCCTGAGAGCTGCATCGTCTCCTATTTATTCAGCTTACTCATTCTAGTTCCCAATCCAGCAATCTTGCCCCAATTATTGACCTGCCACTATTTCACCATCCATCACCCCCCTTTACACCCTCCCCTCCTTTCCCAGCTTGGACTCCATGGGCCCCCACACAATTTTTGATATCCTCCACTCCCTTGCCTTTCAGGGCTCTTATAGTTACTCAGCAGGCAAGACTCTAACTCCAGTTAAGCCCGACTCTCCATGTAGCACCTGTTCAGAGCATAATACAACTGGATTGACTGGTTTCAATGGAAACTTCTGACCACAAAGCTCAAGTGGGCACTCAGCACCTCAACGAAATTCTACATTTTCCTAACACTTTAACCCTTGTCAATGTAAGAAACATCCAAACCTATAGAGCAGCGGTCTTTAACCTTTTTGGCATGAGGGACTGATGCTCCTATGAGAATCTAATGCCTGATGATCTGAGGCGGAGCTGAGGCGGTGATGCTAGTGCTGGGGAGCGGCTGCAAATACAGATGAAAATACAGATGAAGTTTTGCTTGCTAGCCCACCACTTGCCTCTTGTTGTGCAGCCCGGTTCCTTACAGGCCACTGACTGGTACCAGTCCATGGCCTGGGAGTGAGTCAAGGACTCTTGCTATAGAGAATTTTAATGAGTTTATTTGAGCCAAACTGATGACAATTGCCAGGAAGCAAAATCTCAACAGATTAAGAAAATGCTCAGGGAACAGCAGTTTTGCAGCTTATTTTATACATTAGAATCAAAAGAGGAGTCGTAAAGGGGATTACATGAAATCCATTGGTAGTAGATTGGGGGGCAGGAGAAAGCAAGTGGGGAAATCTCTGGGATTGATAAAAAGTAAAACAAAGAAACACGTACTTATTTTACATTGGTGGGTACAGGAGAGTTAGTA